AGCCTTCATCACTGAAACAGGTACGTATTGTTATATTGTTATGCCTTTTGGACTAAAAAATGCAGGCGCGACGTTTCAGAGACTAGTCACCTTAATGTTCAAAGATCTAATGGGGGACACCATGGAAGTTTATATCGACGACATGATCGTCAAATCAAAGAAAAAAGAGGATCATATCTATCATCTGACGGAACCCTTCGGAAGACTGAAAAGTACAATCTGAAGATCAATCCAGCGAAATGTACTTTTGGAGTGACGTCAGGAGAATTTTTAGGATATATCGTCAGTGAACGAGGAATAGAGGCGAGCCCGGAACAAATACGAACAATTATTGACATTGAACCTCCAAAATCCGTCAAAGATATCCAGAGGTTGACAGGACGAATTGCGGCTTTGAATCGTTTCATTTCAAAATCATCAGACAGGTGCCATTTGTTTTATGACGTCTTGAGAAAAAACAAAAAATTCGAATGGACAGACCGACACGAACAGGCGCTTCAACAATTAAAAGAATATATGATGTCGCCACCATTGCTCGCAAAACCTAAAAATGACGAAGAGCTATGTTTAAGCAAGAATTAAACTACTCTAAATTTATATGTATGTAGGGATCGTACAAGAAATAAAGTATGAAAACCGTAAGATTAATGAATGAAAATGTATTAATCTCAATGTATCTATGAAGGAATGGTGTTACAAATGCTTATTTAATCAAGCCAGGTTGATCGTGCCCCCCTACTCTAGGTTTTTCTCCATTTATACAGCAATAGAACTCTATCCATATAGTGCAACTGCCCGCCGGAAATGTCGCCGAGTCCTTAGATCCCGTCATCCAGTTTAGCACTCCTACTAAGTCCATCCTTATCCGATTCGTTGGTCGTTTGTTTAGTTGGATTCCGCCTCTTAGGGATGGGCCGACCTATTTACACTTCCGTGGCCCAACAAGCTACAACTTTATCTGGCCGTTTCAGAGCACGCCGTCAGCGCATTACTGACAAAAGAGGAGCAGGGGCATCAAACTCCAGTCTATTACGTAAGTAAATCCCTAAATGGCCCGGAATCCAGGTATGCTTTACTTGAAAAGTTAGTTTTAGCTTTGATCGTTGCTTCAATTAAATTACGTCCTTATTTTGAATCACATACCATTTGTGTTAGAACTAACTATCCCATGAAGTCAATCATGAGGAAACCAGAATTGACAGGTCGCATGGCTAAATGGTCGATTCAACTTGGAGCTTATGACATAAGATTCGAACCGAGAACAGCCTTGAAATCACAGTCACTTGCAGATTTTGTGGCAGACTTCAGTCCAAAGCTCCAAGAGGAAGCAGAAAAAGAGATTTGCACTCTGATCGATGGATTCCCAAAGCAAAAGTGGACATTGCACACTGACGGAGCATCAAACCAAAACGGCGCAGGTCTGGGCGTGATACTGAAGTCACCACAAGGGGACACCATGCTCCAAGAAGTACACTGCGATTTCACCGCTACGAACAACGAGGCAGAATACGAGGCGCTAATCGTCGGACTCACATTGGCAAAGGACTTGGGCGTCAAAATCTTGGAGGTAAAATGTGATTCTTTACTGATAATTAATCAAACTAACGGTGTGTATGCAGCAAAGGACCCCAAGATGACATCTTATTTGCAAATTGTCCGAGAATTGATAACGGCATTTGACGAAATAACCCTTGAACAAATCCCACGAGAAGAAAACACACAAGCTGACGCTCTGGCCGCCGTCGGATCATGTCTGGGGGCAGAAATCAATTGCAACATCCCTTATGTGCACATGATGAGCCCAGCAATTTACAGATCAGAGGTTGCCTCTACCATTAAAACCCCGGCACAAGACGACTGGACACAACAATACATAGCATACTTAAAGCACAATACTCTCCCAGAGGACAGGAAAGAGGCCAAGGCTTTCCTATCTAAGGCAAGTAAGTTTTTACTGATTGATGATGTGCTATTTAAAAGATCTGTCGCAGGTCCACTCCAAAGATGTCTGGCACCGCAAGAAGCCGCCAAAGTATTGAAAAACCTTCATGAGGGGGAATGCGGCAATCACGCAGCAGGGCGAAGTCTGTCTAACAAAGCTCTTATATTCGGTTATTACTGGCCGACCATGAGAGAAGATGCAACCACCTTCACCCAAAGATGCAAGCCTTGTCAGATGCATGGACCAATTCGTCATCAGCCCTCCGAGACGCTTCATCCAGTTCTATCACCATGGCCCTTTATGAAGTGGGGCATGGATATTGTAGGAAAATTGCCAGAGGCACCGGGGCAGAAAGTATATATGCTAGCAATGACGGATTAATTTTCAAAATGGGTGGAGGCTGAGCCTTTTCGGCAGATACGAGATGACCAGGTGATTTCGTTTATTAAGAGAAACATCCTTTGCAGATTCGGCGTTCCTTCAGAAATTGTTTGTGACAACGGATCTCAGTTCATAAGCGCTAAAACCATACGCTTTTGTGAGAAATACAATATCAAATTGGAAACGTCGACACCTAGGTACCCGCAATCTAATGGGCAGGCCGAGTCTAGCAACAAAATTATCATTGCCAACTTAAAGAAAAGGCTTGAAAAGGCGCAAGGCCGATGGGCTGACGAATTGCCCTTAATACTCTGGGCAGACAGGACAACTCCGAAAAATGCAACTGGACAAACCCCATTCTCTCTGGTGCATGGCTGCGAAGCGGTCATTCCTGCTGAGATTGAAGTACCTTCTTCGAGGTATGGACTCATGACTGGGGAATTGAACAATGTGGAGTTGGTGCACGACTTGGATACCATTGACGAGATCCGTGAACGAGCCAAGATCCGTTTGCAGACATATCAACAACTGGTGGCAAGAAGCTATAATAAAAATGTTCGGGCAAAGGTGTTTCAAAAGGGAGATTGGGTCTTGAGGAGAGCATTTGGCAATGAAGCAGCCGGAAAATTTAGTCCTAATTGGGAAGGACCTTACAAAATCATTGACGTCATTGGTCAGGGGGCATACTGCTTGGAATCAATCGATGGTAAACAAGTCCCTCGAAGTTGGAATGCGGTACATTTAAAGCGTTTCCATTTTTAACAAAAGTTTCTTTTCTTTTCTGCATTTCTATCCCTATTACTAAATAACTAACTTGGCCGTCGGAGGGCCGTTGGCTTAAGGCCAACGACCAACCCTGACGATAATTGTAAATACAGGGAGGCACGCAAAAATGGCCAAATCGCAGGTAATTAGTTACAGTTCATGTAATCTTGAATATAGTAAATACAATTCATCATTCACTAACTTGACCGTCGGAGGGCCGTTGGCCCCAAACCAACGGCCGATCCCAACGGAACGGTATCATCGCAGGACTATGACAGGTTAAGATCAAAATACCAGGTGACCGAGTACCAGAACAACAGATAGAACATCAGATCTGCTCATGACAAAACATCAACATACAGGGGACATGAGGCTCATTGTGGAGAAACCATGAATGAAGTTCCATGAAACCGAATAAGTTTTGGCCAAAACACAAAACACATATATGACTCTACACAGACACGGCATGTTACATACGTAAGCGACATATATAACAACACACACGTTAACATAAACGTAAGTCAGGTGACCAAAAGGAGTAGCAACGGAATCACCAAACAACATGGATTTGGCTTGGATAAACCACCAAGCACAAAATCCATAAATCCTCAGGAAAACATTAAAATTTCTGACAGGAAACCATGATGCAGGGGAAGTAATAGCAGAGTGAGTCTTGGAAGCAAAAACAAATGTCTAAAGTCGAGAAAGTAGAGGGGAAAGGGTGCAGTTAGTTATCTCAGGAGCGTCTGGATTCAGCTTCGTTATCGGACTGGCCTACGTCAAAACCATCTTCCCCAATCGGGGGATCCATCTCATCTTGAAGCTTTAACCAGGTAGCAACATCCTGTTCCGCAGTCCAGCTTGACGTCTCGCCTGCGAGGAATGAAGTCATCAGTTCACCCCTGGTTTTCCAAGCATAAAAACAGGCCGCGTCAGTAACCTCTTGCTTCTTTTTCCTCCCATACGCCTCCAACGACTTGATGCGGGTTTTTAAAGTCGAAATTTGAGTTGTTAAAGTCGAATTGTCACCACGGAGACTTTGGATCGTTCGAGCATCAACGTCAGCACGAGCTTGAAAACTTTTCTCCTTTCTTTTTAATTCGTCCACAGCCTTTTCCAGCAGAACCAACCTTTCTGAAGCAACAAGGCTAGCTTGAACACTCTGCCAGATTAAAACAAATTTCTCTCGTCAAAAGAAGGATTAAATTTGTACAGGTACCGAGCATTTACAAAACGACGAGGTACCTGGAAAGCAAAAGCCGAGGAAGCCAATGCCAGGCCAGCTGAAGACACATCCGAAAATACAACAGATGAGGAGGAGAGCAGGACTTGAGGCATTTCACTTCCCATCATAAGAGCATCCTTCAAACAACAAAAGTCACGAGAGAAAGAAGCATTCATCTTCCCGCCAGAGTCAGGATTGGTGGCAGCACTCACTGGACGAGGGGGAGCAGATTTCATCTCTGTATTTGGGCATTGTGGAGTTTTGGAACAACCAGAGGCCAACTTAGATGGGATTTTCTTCTTTCTTGAAACCATGTTAAGGAGGTCGTAATCAGAAGGCATCGGCCGTGTGTTAGACGAAGAAACAGCTGTGACAAGGGAAAATATATAAACATTCTAAATAAAGCAACATTTGACGAATAATTGAAATAGCAGGAACTAGTACCAGCGTGTTGTGCAGAGCGTTTCGCTGGAAGAGAACATGAGTCCTGACCACCGGGAAACACCATTTGAAGAGGAACAAAAGCACTTGCATTTTCACCTCCACCCCTCGAAGTTTCTGATTCATGGTCTGAATCATCTACACAGACCGCGCGTGAACCTTGGACATCGTCAGGGACATTCTGAATATTACGGCGAGAACGCCTTAATCCAACGGACCGAGAATGGTCAGGAGTGGGAGACATACCTTCATTATCAACCACTAGATTCCCAAAGGTCCGTTCGGCAGTAGTTATAGATAAAATTTTGGCAGTCCTTCCTTCAGAGTCTGGACCATAGCTCAAGGGGATAGTCTTCCTATCTAAAACAAAAAACAACAACAATGAAAACGGTAATTTTGACGTATTGCAAACCAGCCATATAGCAACTAAATACATTTGAAATTCATATGTAAAGCAAGAAGTTGTCAAGATACCTTTGTGTAAACTCTCTTCAAGAAATGCGCCCTCAGAACCTAGGGAATCTTTTTGCACAAAGAAGAACTGGCTCATCCAGCCACGATCATTAGCTTTGTCCGCCCTCAATATCAGCGCTTCGCGAGCATCTTTGACAGCCAGGGTAAACCGACCAGCTCCAGAAGAACGAAGATCATAGGTAAAACCCAGATCTTCGAAGGAGAAGGGGATGCTGTGTTTTTCGCTTAATACTTCTAAGCCACGCAGGACCCTCCATACTTGTGGCATTACTTGGGAAGGGGAAACCTTGACAAAGGCCAAGAAGTCTCTAACTAGGGAAGAAAAAGGGAATTTCATACCAATCTTGAAGGGGTACATAAAGAAGTTGACCCAACCATCGCAATGCCAATCAACCCGTTCGTTAGCGGCCGGAAACCGGATGGATGCATGCGCTGGAAATCCGGAACCATTCTTGATAGCTTCGATATGATTCTCCGAGAGTTTAGCCTGTTTTGCATTCTTCGGATCAAGGATGTGTTGAGGGATAAACTGTTGGGACGCCATAGATTCTCACGATGAATCTCTGCAAGAATCGAACGGAAAGTATTTCACAAAAGAGGAGTTATGACTGAAAAGGGGCTAGTCTGACGAAGGGTTGGCTACTCGAGGAAGGAGGCTGACGGTTTTGTCCATTTCGAGGTAGCATCAAAACGTTTAAAATTCAAAGAAGTAACCGACCGGTTGGATTAAGTTGGTAACGATTACTACTTCAAATTTTAGGGGCAATTGTTGGGCCCGGATCTGTCAAGCGAATCGGCCCATTGATTGGGTTTGAGTTTATTGGACGGATCAGCCCACGTAACCCTAAGGAATCTACAGAATCCGGCTTGGTCAAATAATGTGACGAAGTGGATAAGAAAGCCTAAGAAGTTGAGGAGAAAATGGAGGAACGGTTCCCAATTTAGTAGGGGAAGGCTACCATTTCGCCGGGCAGTTCGTCCACATGGGGGATAAGGCTGAAAATTTTATTTTAAATAGGCTGGCTGTAGAAGAGAGGCGGAATGAACCCTACTTGATTATATATGCACTTGTAATACCATTCTTTCAGTCATACACTCAGATTAATACATTTCATTCATTAATTTTCGGTTTTTACATTTTGTTTCTTGTACGATCCCTACATACATATAATTTTAGATTAGCTTAATTCTTGCTTAAACAATTATCTTTGTATTTGTGTAGTTATGAATTAAACGTGTAATACGGGCCACAAATGTGTATCAGCCCGGGGGCTTCCTTGTAACCCGTAAGTTAGCCAACTTCTCCTATAAAAGGAGGCTAACTTACGGGAACCCTAACGAATCGGATAGAGGCTGATAGACGCAGAGGCGAGATAGAGAGAAATTAGGGTTGCCGCTGCTCTCCTTCTCCAGGGAGAGCAGCGGCCGGTTTTCATACGGTATACCAGATTCGCGTTTTATCTTCGACATATCTTTCTATCTGCTTCTTTATACCTGTTATGATTGTTGCATGTTAAGATCTGGAGTTATCACCCACCAAGGCTTCACTTGATGAGACCAAAGTGGTACCGGCTGCCAAGACTGCATAACCCCCTAGGACCCAACATTGCTTGGGTACCTAAATCTTCCTTTTATTAATGCAGGAACTGTTTGCTGGAGCAATCTCTGAGCAAGACTGGTATATTGATAGTGGATGCTCCAGGCACATGACAAGTGACAAGAGTTGCCTTACAGAGTTCCAGAGATGCAAAGGGCCAAAAGTCACTTTTGGTGGCAATGATAAAGAAGGCCAAACAAAAGGGAAATGAAAGCTGACCAGGAACTAGATAATCATTGATGATGTCTCATATGTCAAAAGACTGAAATTCAACTTGCTAAGTGCTATCCAGTTCTGTGACAAAGGCTACACTGTTGAATTCTCCAAAGAAGGCTGCTCTGTCAAGCATGAGACAACTATGGAAGTGGTTCTGACAGCTACCAGGAAAAGAAACATATATGTTGTTGATTGGTCAACTGCAAAAGAAGGAATTTGCCTGATAGCCAAAGGAGATTCAAAACTTAGTTGGGAATGGCACAAGAAGCTGAGTCACCTGAATTTCAAAACAATCAACAATCTAGCAAGGGATCACATTGTTGATGGACTGCCCAGCATTGTGTACATGAAGGAGAACCTGTGCAGTGCATGCTAGAAAGGAAAGCAAGTGAAGAACTACTTCAAACCCATTGCTGGAGATCTTTGTACAAGTCCTTTAAATCTGATCCACATGGATTTATTTGGACCAGTTGAAACTCCAAGTGTTGGTGGCAAAAGATATACTTTAGTCATGGTGGATGATTATTCGAGATACACTTGGACAATCTTTCTGAAGAAAAAGAATGAGACTCTACAGAAACTACCATCTCTGTTGAAGCTACTACAGAATGAGCAGAATCGGAAAGTCAAGAATATCAGATCAGACAAGGGAACAAAGTTCGTCAACAAGGTCATAAAGGATTTCTGTGACCAGGATGGAACCATGCACCAACTCTCTGCAGCCAGAACTCCTCAACAGAATGGAGTTGCAGAAAGAAGGAATATAACATTGAAGGAAGCTGCAAGGACCATGATTGTTGAATCTGGTCTACCTCTCAGATATTGGGCTGAAGCAATCAACACTGCATGCTATACTCAGAATCGGAGCATGATTCACAAGACTCATCAGAAGACCCCCTATGAGCTATGGAAAGGAAGAAAACCGAACATCAGTTACTTTCATGCATTTGGATGTAAATGCTATGTACTCAACAATGGAAAGGAACATCTCAAAGTGTTCCAAGAAAAAGCTGATGAAGACATGTTCTTAGGCTATTCAAGCACAAGCAAAGCCTAAAGAATACTTAACAAAAGGACTCTACTTGTTGAAGAATCTATTCACGTCAAGTTTGATAATCACAACTCTGTTGAAGATCTATCAAAGAAACTGGAAAAAGTGAACCTTGAAGAAACACCAGAAGTGGTCACATCAGAAGTGGTCACATAAGAAGTGGTCACACCAGAAGTGGTCACACCAGAGTTGGTCACCAACCCTGCTATACCAACTCACATTCAGAATCCCATTCTGCAAGACAAAGACAGTGATGAAGACTCAGAAGACGAACAAGAAAGACCTAGACAACCATTATCCGAACCTGATTTAACTTGGTTAAGAGATCATCCTTCAACCCAAGTAATTGGACAAATCATAAGTGGAGTACAGACCAGACCTGCTACAACAAGAAGAGAAGCAATGTTTGCCTGCTACATATCTCAGATGGAACCTATGACAGTAGAAGAAGCTCTTGTAGACTCGGATTGGATTAATGCAATGCAAGAAGAGCTCACTCAATTTGAGAAGAACAAAGTGTGAGAACTTGTCAATAGACCAAAGCACCAGAATGTCATTGGAACCAAATGGGTATTTAAGAACAAAGCTGATGAAGATGGCAACATTGTAAGGAATAAAGCAAGGCTGGTAGCCAAGGGTTACTGCCAAGAAGAAGGGATAGATTTTGATGAGACCTTTGCACCAGTTGCTAGACTAGAAGCCATCAGAATATTCCTAGCCTATGCTGCCTACAACAATATCAAGGTCTACCAGATTGATGTCAAAAGTGCATTTCTGAATGTAGATCTTGAAGAAAAAGTTTATGTGGAACAACAACCAGGTTTTGTCATTCCTACTCAATCTTCTTGTGTCTACAAGCTTAAAAAGGCCCTTTATGGTCTTAAGCAAGCTCCCAGAGCATGGTATGACACATTATCCCTATTCCTAGTAAACCATGGGTTTACTAAAGGAAAGGTTGACAAGACTCTATTTCAAATATTTGTTGCTAATCATATTCTGTTAGTACAAATATATGTTGATGATATTATATTCGGAAGTACTAACGCAGAACTGTGCAAGAAATTTTCACAAGTTATGCAGAGTCAGTTTGAAATGAGTATGATGGGAGAACTGAGCTACTTCCTAGGACTGTAAGTCAAACAAGTTCCAGAAGGAATCTTTATCAACCAAGGGAAGTACACCAGAGACCTAATCAAGAAGTTTGGAGTAGAAGGCAAATCCTGAGTGAAGACTCCCATGAACACTTCTCAAGGAATTGATCCGGATGATGAAGGCAAAGATGTTGATGCAACAACATACAGAGGAATCATTGGATCTCTTCTCTACCTAACTGCAAGCAGACCAGATATATCATTCTATGTTGGAATCTGTGCCACATACCAATCAAAGCCCAAGGAGAGCCATTTTTGTGCTGCAAAGAGAATCATCAGATACATCAAAGGAAATCCAAATGCAGGCCTATGGTATTTCAAGGGAGGTAACTTTGAACTAATTGGTTACTCTGACTCAGACTTTGCAGGTTGCAGGTTAGACAGGAAGAGCACCTCTGGTCACTGCCAACTGCTAGGTGGGAGACTTGTCTCCTGGTTTAGCAAGAAGTAGAATTCAATCTCAACCAGTACAGCAGAAGCTGAGTATATTGCTGCTGGAAGCTGTTGTGCCCAACTTCTGTGGATGAAGCAACAACTCAAGGATTATGGAATTCATGCAAAGGAGATCAAGCTGTTGTGTGACAACACCAGTGCCATTGCAATCACTCAGAACCCAGTGCTTCATTCCAGGACAAAACACATTGAGATCAGACATCATTTCATCAGAGATCATGTAGAAAAGAAGCATATCTGTATGGACATGTACCAACTGAAGATCAGCTAACGGACATTCTAACCAAGCCTTTACCTGAGGCAAGGTTTAACAAGCTAAGGGAAGAACTGGGAATGATGGATGATCTTCCTAAAGATGCATGAACCAGAATTACCCTGGACCAGAACTGCTATATCTGGACCAGAGAACCTTCCATCAGAGCACCTCTATCTCTGATCACCAGAGTACCAATCTTATCAGAAGTTCATCAGAAGTGGTCGTGGACTTAGTTATTTTTCGAGGTACGGGCAGGACCTAATTACTTGAACAGGTCTTTTTACAATTTTACCCCTGATTATTACTCCTTTAACGGAAACGTTTTCCACCCGCATTTCTTTAAATGCTACCTCGAAACCACAAATTATCCCAAATGTCCACTAACCCAAAGCCTTTTATACCAACCTTCTTCAACCTAAACCGCTACTGCACTTCATCTCTCTAAAATTGCTTTTGCCCTCAAGCTTTCAAACCTTCCCAGAACTCTCACTCTCTAAAAATGAACTTCATCAACATAAACGATCTCACTAAGGAAGAAGTAAAAACCCTCATCTCCAACATTGTAACGGGCATGAAAGTGGATATGACTGCAATGCCACTACTAGCAGAAAACCAGAAGAGGATGACGAAGATCATCCAGGGAATGAATGAGTCCCAACTGAGCAAAGTGGTTGCTCACCCCTATGAGCACTTCAGTACGAAGGACGTGGCCGAGTTCTACTTCAACGCCAACATCACCAAGAACGCCGTTCAATCCCAGGTGCAGGGGAAAAGCATCATCTTGAATGCAGATGCCCTGAACGAGTTCTTCGGGGTACAACTGGACTCTCAAGATCCAGAAACCCCCACTCTCATTGACTTAGAGTCTGTGGATGTTTCCACTGAGGCCTTTGTGCAAACCCACTGCCGCCCTGAGGCTGCTGGACTAGAAAAGCTCTACATGAAGAAGTTCCTGCTGAAGAAGGACTTCGAAAAGCTGGTCAGTGTATTGCACAGATGCCTGTGGTGCAAGATTGGTTCAACCGATGAAATGAACAAGGCCAATGCCAAAGAAATTTTTGCAGTGTGCATCATGGCATGAACATCAACTAGGGCGAAGTAATCTTTGGTTCCTTGACTGAGTTCATCAAGAAGAAGGACCAGAAGACTGGCCTGTTCTCAACAAAGATGGGCCATGGTCTCCTCATCTCTGCCATCCTTACTGCTCAAGGAGTTCAACTCAGGGATCCCTCTCCAGTTGACCACTCCAAGACCATCTTCCTTACAGCCTCTCCCAAGTTGAATATTGTTATCTCTGCTGAGCTAAAAAGGGAAGAAAGGATGGAGAAGAAAAGAGAACAAAAGGTTGTGAAACCTGTTGAAGATAATTCTATTGTGAATCAAGTCTGTCAGTTTTGCCTGTATTAGTCTAGTTTACTATTTCCATTATGCATTGATATACTGTATCTCCTAGAATAGTATTTAATATGGGCCAAGTGTTAGGCCCATACTAAAGGCTAAAAGCCTTTAGCGCCTAACCTAAACCTCGCCTATAAAAAGGGAGCCGAGGGTTTAG